ATCATCAATTACAAAATAGAATATACTAACCACAGAAGAATTATAAAAAGGTTTCATTCACCTAAGTCTTTTTTGTGGTCCTTTTCATTTCTGGATGACTCCACAAAAATTAATTCCAATCTAAAGATCACTACCGAAGGAACAAAACAAATAATTCAAGTGATAGCTAAGACAGGTGGTCTTTGTATCTTAAATTCTTTCCCAAAAGCAAACAGCTAAATAGAATACCATTTCTCTTATAAATTATATCCATGGTAAATTCTTCAGAACACCTTTCCATTGTGATTAGAGAGTGCTCCGAATGAATATATTTCATAGTCTTCATTTTATCAAATTTGATGACAAATTCTTTTCAGCCTTATAGTCTATCAACCACATTTATTGAAAATTGACTCTCTGTTTATTGCTTTCTAGGCACATATTGCTAATGCAAGTCTGTTTACCCAGGTATATAAACCAGTTAAGAGCTTCTTCATTTAAAAACAATAGTCTTTGTAGCAGAGATAGGCAGGTGTCTATTAATAAAAATATTCTAGTCTCACTATTGACTAAAACCTAGACTTCCTTTTCAAAATCATAAAGATTTTAGATAGATAGATAGATAGATAGATAGATAGATAGATAGATAGACAGACAGACAGACAGACAAATACATTGAAAGATGCATGACATTATTTGACAGTAGTTCCAATTCTACAGATCCAGCTCTACAACCTATCTAATTTGTCTGGAAAGAATCAATAAAATGACTTGCATTATTGATGCAGTTTCTATTGACACAATTTACAGTTTTTACTCATAGAAGTCACTTTGATTAAAGCAGAAAGATATGAAAGTCGTCTCCTTTGTTTAAATGGCATAAAGATGAACCAGTGAAGATACTAGAGTCATTTCATCATTTGCCTTCAAAATGAATAATTAAAGCTTGGTCTAAGCAGACAATCTGTTTATACCTCTGCATGCAGCCCTCTTTTTTGTGTTCTTCACAGTGTCTGACAAGCCCTAAGAGGGATGCTGGCATCCATGTTTCCATTCATTAATGAGTATGTATAACGGGATGAGGATGGTGATTTAATAAAGAAGCAGCACTGAAAAATAGTCCAGACCATTTCTTTCAAGGCTACAATATTATAAAAATTTGGTTTTATCTCCCTTTTAAAGCTTTGTCTTCTATGTTTACCTGATGTCATTCAGCACAATATAAAACATGGAAAGTGAATGGTTAACAAATCCATAAACAGTAAATCTGACAAACAACTGAGGGCAGCCCAGGGACTTGATCATAATCTGCACAGATGAAAAGAATTATAGATGAATAATGATAAAGTCTTACTGCACTTGAATCTCTTGTTAAAAAATCTTACACACATGCACGCACACACACACACACACACAACACAGAGCTTAAGAACAAGTATGTTATTAGTAACTTTGAAAACCCCTGTATATCCATCCCTCTTTTATAATACCTCCAGATCTAATCCTCAGAGACAACTAACTACCATCTGAGGTTTGAGAGGTTTATTTATAATTTTTAAAAACTTCTCCAGTTTAATCGCATGTATTTTTATTCCTAAATAATGTATTGCTTACTTTTGAATTTTTTGAGCTTTATATAAATGGTATGTGTTCATTGGTGTTTTTATTTTTTTTCTCTCAAAATGAGGTTTCTGTGATTTATGCACAAGTGTGGCTATTGTTCACTTATTTTCCAGTGCTCCATAGAATTTCATGGTATGATAAGATCATTTGTATAGATAGGCCACTTAGGTTATTTCTAATTTTTTATGTTATCATAAACAATACTGCGATGAACATTCTTCTATTTATCTATCTGTACACGTGTGAAACAGTTTCTCCAGGTGTAGAATTACAGTTTTGGAATATCCACTTTTGCAATAATACAGGTATTTTTGAATCGTTATCCAAACATCAATTTATACTTCCACTGGTACAGTATGAGTTACTGATTCATCATATCTTGTCAACACATGGCACTCTCAAAAACAGTCATTCACATAGAAAATGAATCCTGGCTAAATGACCACAAATATTCACTCCAGAATCACTTAACACTTCTAAGAACTATATCTTCAGTTACTTAAATTAACTTGCTCCACTCAAAGCTTACAAAAAGACCATATTTCTATATATGAGATGGCAAGAATAAGTTTTAAAAGTATTTATGTTTACGCCTACAAATTAGTTCTCCATTTCTGGTAAGAAAATTTCCTATAATGTTGTGTCAAAATATTTGTGTCTAACTGTTGTGTTTGCCAAAGAGATACATTTTCCAGTCAAAACAATTAATTAGAAGCTATTAATGATGACTTCCAAGACTGAAGAAGCCATTGAAAGAGGAGAGAGCAATTGAAGGAAAAAAATATCCCACAAACCAAAATGCAAGAAATAAGTTAGTTTGTTGATCTTCATTTGGGAATTTTGTCTTGAATTACTTAACTTTCTGTAATCATTTTGCCATCCATAAATCACTCAAATAACAAACTATGGGGAGACTTCAGATTTTTAAAGTGCTTAAATCTCAAACAACATTCTTGTTTCTCTTTATATATTTAGTCCTCGTAATATTTTGTTTTACAAAAAAAAATGTTTGGGTGCTGATGATTTTCAGCATCCAAATAGCCCCAGCAGATGTACTTCTGGTTTGGTCAGGTACAGACCATTTGTCATTCATGAGGTGAGAAAGTTCATTGGTAAAATTCTTCAATCCCTAAGTCATAAATTATTTGAGAAAAAGTGCTCAGTTTCTTGTAAACCAAGTCTATATATTCACATTATCTATCTATCTATCTATCTATCTATCTATCTATCTATCTATCATCTATCTATATCTATATCTATTTATTTATCATCTATCATCTACCCATCCACCCACCAGATGGTGGTACCCAGATATCAGAATGGGTCTTATAATTTGAGTGGAGTAGGGCAAAGAAAATTCAGGTTAGACAAGCCAATATCTGCATGGAACAGTGAACAGTCCATGATTACATGACCACAAACTACATCGCAAACACATAGCTGCTGCTCTGCAAGTGAATGTTGGTTATGACAGAATCAGGGGAAACGAGACCTTGGTGTTACAGAGTATATCCCTTACCACATCTGGAAAAAAAGCAAAGGTCATACTCTACTGGTGGTTGGTCCATGATGTAAACCTTTACCATGAAAAGAACCATGTTAGATTTTGTTAGACAAAGACCTTAGACTGAGACAATCAAGGAATGACAAAGGGGAGGTGCCATCTCCAGGCAGTAGTTAATGCCATCTACTGAGAAAAAAAGAGAATTTGTAGCAACCCTCACTGAGGCTTTTAAAAGACTTTGCTAGACGAGATTCTCTTATCTCACTGGAATTTCCCAAAACCAAAATATATGCATTTAAACATTATTCGCACTCCGGCAGAATCAATATAAACAATCAGGATGTTTTTGCATAGACGGATCCATGCTTTGAATTTCTTACCTCATGTTTCTCAAAGCTGGCTGTATATTTCATTCTTCAACAAAAACAAAGGCTCTGTGACTAAACTTTTTTTAAAAACAAAATCTACTGCTCAAGAATACATGGACTATATATTTATTTTGTATATTTATGTATATTTTACAGACTTTTGCAGATAATCGTATTTCTTCTTCTATTCCACCTGCCAATTCCTTATCAATCCACTTTTAGGGCTCTATTATTTAGTCTAGAACATTGCTGATTTTTGATTTAAAAAAAAAAATGACAGTTTCTGTAATCAGAGACTTATGCCCTTTATATTATTAATTCCTTGTGATTATCCCCTTTAGAGCCTCCTTGCAAATAATCTTTCCATGTGCTCAAAAAATGTTTTAAAAACATAATTTTAAAATGGATTGCTATGGATTTTACAAATAGTGCCATAGAGAAACATTTTTAAAAGTATACATGAACTTTATGCTAAGATATAAATATTGAGGAGCTTAATGTGAAAAAAAAAAAAACATGGCAGGACAGTACCGATAGTTATGAAAAATGTGTGGCTCTTTAGCACAGTCCTGCAATAAGAAAGTTGTGTTTGGCAATAATCTTTGTACAAATATGACCTTCTTTGGGTGACATAATATTAGATTCCTGTTATGTATTGTTTTTACTTTACCTCTTAATCATGTTTCAGTTTATTTGTTGGACTGACCTCATAAGTGGTCAAGTCCTTCTAGTAAGAACGGTTGAATATTGAGTAAGAATTTTTAAAAGGGCAGATATATTCTACACAGGAAATAGTCTATGTTTAAAGACAGCGGTGGAGAAATACCCCTTGCATTAAAGGTTTAGAGACATCTTGAAAAAAAGGCATAAATGTGTACTAGTTTATCTTTCTCATAAATCCAATGCAATATGTGGCATTGAATTACAAAGCTAATCAATAACAAAATAAATTATTCGTCAGAATTTATACTTTGCATTCATTAGTCCTGCCTAATCCAGTTCTACAACTGTCATCAGAAAGTTCTTCCTTCATGATTAAGGAATCCGGCCACTTTGACAGGGATGGGAAAGTAAAAGAAATGGTAGGTGCTGGTGTTCTGAAAAACAACTTGTCTCCACTCGCAGGCCTCATGAAAACTGTCTCCTTGTGCACTACTAGAGGCTTATAAGCTCTGGATAGACTGTTTCATGAGTATTTATCCTCCTTAAAACTCTGATCAGAAATGCCAAGTGGCCATGGTTACAAGACACCTGTTTTCACACCATTCCTGATAAAAGCTTCTCTGCAGTACTGCTGATAAATATTGACATTATGTTCTAAACCACATGGAACAACTTGAAATCCTGTCTTCTCTCACACAAAGCAAGAAAAAAAAATCAGAATTAAGCTTTGACATTTAGCTTATTTCTCTAAAAGCAAGGACCATGGTAACTGAGAATTTTTACCTTAAATTTTTTTAAGCATTTGTTTTAACAATAGAGTAAAAGCGAAAGACCAATTAGAAAGATAGCAGATTTTCAATTACCTTGGAAACTCGGTTTGCAACTTCTCTGCCCACGGTCAGCCCCTGAACAAATGTCCGGGCAGCAATGAAGGCGCGGGTGACCTGAATTTTCAATTTCCGGGGTACATCTCCAAATGGCTTCAGCTGGTCTGTGTATTTGCTCACGCATTCCAGGTAGTCCTCGCTAAAGTGATATTGTGGGTTGATCAGCTGAAACATCCGTTCCAGGAGACGAGCCCAGAAGTCATTGAGCATCTCCTCCAGATTTACATTGCCCCCTGTGTAGTATCTTTTCAGCTCTGTGAAGAGGTCCTGGAACACTTCTGAATTCTGCATATACAGCATTCCATAGGTCCGTACAAACATATCATTTAGTGACTTTTCTGCATTCTCCAGGAGCTCTCGGAAAAATTCTGCAAATAAAACAAAGCTGTCATAATTTAATAAGATCTAGAAAGCCCAGAACATCTACTTACCTTAAAAATAACTGCTTTTAATGGCCATTTTCGTAGAAAAGTGTATCATGTATCAATAATAAACTAATGGTAACAATATTTAAATGAGATTTGCCCTACATCTATAATCTCTGAGTTAAAGAAAACAAGAGAACACATGATTTCTATATGAAAAAACGTCCATTATTATTAGGAGTTTACAATTTACTATTCCTCCAAAGTTGCTTAATCCTCTTCTCATTCATTGTTAAATTTTAGCAAATCCTACAGTTTGATATGATGTCAAAACAAAATATTTTGCAAAATATTTTCATTAACATAATAGCAAATACATACTAATAAAAACATTTATTCTATCCTATTTACAAATCCGTTCTAACACTAAATTCAATTAAATTATTTGGAATAGTTCATAAATAGGATATTCAAATTACTCTAATAGTATGGACTCTTTGTAGTTGCTATATAGCAATCACTTATCAGTGTTTAGATTCATATGCATTAAATTCACTTAATATCAAAGGTATAGAACATAATTTATTTTGCCATAATAATCAGAAAGTTACAAAGTACTTTGAATTATTATTATAAATAAAACTATCATTTTGAAGAACTTGAATAAAATATAGACAATCGAGCTTTCTAGTTAAGTGGTTCTAAATGAGAAAGAGTACACCAAGAATTGAACTCTTCTATTCTGCAACAGCACTTGAGTGTTACTGGGATCACTTATTCAGTGGTCCCCAACATTTTCCGCACTAGGGACCACTGCTCTTGTGAGAATCTGATATCTGATGATCTGAGGCGGAGCTGAGACAGTGATGCTTGTGCTAGGGAGTGGCTGCAAATACAGATGAAGCTTTGCCCGCTAGCCCATGGCTCAACTCCTACTGTGTGGCCCAGTTCCTAACAGGGCACAGATGGGTACCAGTCCGCAGCCAAGGGGTTGGGGACACTTGACTTATAGGAAGCAAAAAAAAGGAAATTAATATATGTTAGCCTCATTGGCCTTCATGTTAGGCTCCTTCGAGAAATAGTTTATGTGCAAGTAATAACAAACGTTGGAGAGGATGAGGAGAAAAAGGAACCCTCATACACTGCTGGTGGGACTGCAAATTGGTACAGCCACTAAAGAAAACAGTATGGAGGTTCCTCAAAAAAAAAAAAAAAAAACCTAAGAATTGATCTACCGTATGATCCAGCAATCCCTCTACTGGGTATTTACCCCAAAGACTTGAAAACCCATATCTGAAAAGATATTTGCACACTGATGCTCATAGCAGCATTATTCACGGTGGCCGGGACTGGAAGCAACTGAAGTATCCTATGATAAATAATTGGATAAAGAAGCTGTGGCACATATATACAATGGAATATTACTCAGCCATAAGAAGAGATGAAATACTGCCATTTGTGACAACATGGATGGACCTCAAGGTAATCATGCTAAGCGAAACAAACCAGACAGAAAAAGTTGAAAATCACATGATATCACTTATATGTGGGATATAAACCTAAATGCAACAAATGAACAGGACAAACAAACAGAAACTCATGGACATGGACTATAGACTAGTGGTTACCAGAGGATATGGGATGGGGGAGGAGGAGGTAGTAGATGAGGTCAAGGGGGTCAAATATGTGATGACAGAAAGAAATCTAACTATGGAAGGTGAACACACAGTGTAAACATATATATGCCTTACTGTTAAAGTGTACCACTGAAACTTATTGGGCTTCGTTAACCAATGTCACCATAAAAAATAAATCAATTAATTAAAAAAAGAAAAGAAAAGAAAGAAGACACCTACCCATGTGCAGAAATGAACCTGGGTAGAGTAAGTTCAAGCTTTATCCCACACGGAGAATGTGATTTGGGGTGGAGAAAAGGCTAAGACAAGATAATGCTTCTGAAATTATAAATCCAAGTTCCCATCAAGAGTAGGAACTGCTTTAGCTCTCATAGTTCTCTTTTATTCTCTGAAGCTAAGTCCTCTCTCAGCTAATGAAGGGGTGAATCAAGTCCTGGACACCTCAAGTAAAAAATAAAAAATAAATAAAAAAATAACCCTCTTCTTTTTGTTGCCTTGGACACGGAGGGTGGGGAGTGGAGGGTCGGGTGAGGGTAGGCTCCTGAGACACAAAAGGGAAAAAGCTATTACCTCTTCACGGATTCCACTGAAGCTACACATCATTTCTGCTTTATCAGAAGTTGCCTGAAGAAGAACTTGATTTAGTTACTTCAATTCTAAATAATATAGTATTGAACTATGTGGTGTCTATAACAATGTGATTATTTTGTATTTGTTATCAAATAAAACCAAAGCAGCAAAGCTTAAAAAAGGATTCTGTTCACATGTTTACCCTCTTACCATGAAAGAAATTCTGTTGGTGGCAGCAGAGATTATCTAAAAATCTTGCCTTATAAACCTTGTGTGACATTGTTGAAGGCACCAAATATTTATTTTAATTTTTCCTAAATGTAAAATCAGGCTAAATATTATTAAACCTCACTAATATTCAAGGATTCAGAAAGAAAAGCAGTGTTGAACAGGGCAAATTTTTCAAAATTGTCAAGGGGTCAATTAATCAGAACATTTAAATATGTTATATGTTCATGTTATTTATGATTTTATGATATCAGGAACATTTCAGAATTTTTTTCAGAACTACTAGTCGTCTAGTTTGTTCTAAAATAGAAACTATGTCAAATTATTAATATTAATACCGAAGTATAAAATTATATTAAAACATTTTAATCTTGCAACCAAGAATAAAAATAGCTTGACCTTGTTGTTATAGAAGCAGGTGAAATGTGTTATAGGTTGTAAATAGAAAGTAGAAAAGAATGAGGAAAAATCACTGAATTGAAAAATACTAATATAACGAGACTAGAAAGTAGATTCTCATCGTGAGCTCAGGACAGCATATTCATTTATCTTCTTTTTAAGGTCAATTATTTTGTTAGTCTCAAGAATTAAAGCTTAATTTATTGAATACAGAGTACTGCCTTCAGCAATGAATAGTTAGTAATCAATAGTGTGGTCTGGATTTGCAAAGAGCTAAAAAAAAAAAAGAGTAGAAAAGAAAAGAAAAATCTTCTGGTTCTCGTTGCTCTACAAAGACTTAAAGTATAAATGCTTCTCTGTAGGAATAAAAATTTTATTTTATTTTTCCTTTTACTGAGGGTAACATTCCTTAGGTTTTTCCTCTCCCGACATGGGAAATATGAAATATTGGTCTTATGCCCACTTTGAAGCTGAATGGTTAAAACCAGACTGTTCGTGTGTCTTGTGGTTTGTTTCCTTATGCCTAAATCAGTATTCATCATTAATTATAGAAACTAATTATCATATTTCAATAAATATGGCTCAAGAAACATTTTATTAGATTCCAAACTTAAATTTGTGTCTAAGGGTTTGTCATCTCAAGAGTTTTCTATCAGCTTCACTGGTCCACAAAAGTCAAGTTATTACTCCTTGTTCAACATTATTATATGGTTTTGTGATCTCAGAGTCAACGTTAATATTTGTTATTGAAAGACACTAATGTATTAGGCAATTATGACAAATGTTGCTACCTTAAGATACATTGATATTAGATCTTATGAAAGATGGGGCTCCAAGGCACTGAGGAAAAACTAATGTCCTCCAAAGATAAGTATACTCATTTCAGTTTTAGCAGGCCCCAAAGAGTCTGACTTTCACCTCTGGAAGGCTGACTCTTTGAACAAAGTATTTATGCTTGGGTGAAAATTGTTTCCCAGCAAACCAACCAAGATGGATGTTTGGAAAACAGTTATCAGACCCATTTTGTTGATGAAATATTATGCCCAAACAGCGCAGAAAAAATTGAAGAAAAATTATTTCAGTCTAACCCTTTGTTTAATCAGAAAGGGCAAAGCTCACATAAAATAAAGTCTTTGGTCAATAAAAATTTTCATCTGCAAGACACTGTTTGCAGAAAAAAAAAGGATTTCCTTTTTTTTCTCTTCCTCGGTCACAAAATATACATCAAAGCTGATGGCTTAGGGCTCAGTTATGTTTCATAGATGCACAAAAGAACTTTTTTCCAGCCAATATTATTAGCCTCTGGGAGGATTTTATTCATCCAGAGGGGAGATCTGGATGCAAACATCTGTTGGCTGCAGGGCAGACTGCTTCAAGTGGGAGAACAATCTTGTAGATAAAAACCACCACTGTTCCAAAAGCAAAAAGGAAGTCTGTGAATGCTGCCTGATCCCTGGGAGAAGGCTCTTATGGGACAAAATTCAACTCCAAGGAGTCAACAAGTGTCTAGGATATTGGAGAAAGGCTTCAGATGCAGCCTCCAAATGAATGGATCCAATTATAACTAAGGTGCACGCAGGATCATAGGGAGGTGAGAGCAAGAGGAGAAGGGCAGATTAGAGTATCTCTAGGAATCTGCAGTCAATCGGAAACAGTAAAAACTTTGACCAATCGAGCTGGAAAAGTCTCATTAATACTACTATAGATAAATACATTCTGTGGTAGATTGGGTATGAAGACTGAATTAAACACTGCATAGCATTTATCTAGAAATTATAGTGTTTTCCTATTTTGTTCTCACACTCTCCAAAATACTTCTTGCTGAAATCTTGTTTAAAACTAATGTTTCAGGATGATAGTGTGAATCCATGTAATCACAGAACCCAAAGAGTTAAAAAGCTCTAGTCACTGGCCAGTGGAGATTATATCTATACATGATTACAGATAGCACTTGTCTGACCAGGAGGAAGCAGGAGTACTAAATTTGCTTCCCTAATCCCATGTATCTGTGCTGAACATATTTTTCTCTTAATCTCTCTCATTCTACCCTTCCCCTGAAAAGGTTTGCTGAACCAGTTCAGTCTACTCAGAATCCAAGCTTTGGCTAAGGAAAGACCTGGATGAGCTGGCATGGAGGGTAGAATGGTTAAGAAAGCCGACATCCCATAA